CTGGCCCCGGGCGCGCAGCCCTTGGAGGGGGCACCGGCCCTGGGCGCGTGGCTATGGGGGGGCCCCGCCCCCGGGCATGCAGCTATGGGGGGGCCGCCCCCGGGCGCGCAAGTGTCCCCGCCCCCTGGCGCCCGGCGGGCAAACGGCCACACCCCCTGGCTCCTGGCAACCTCAAATGGTTGGGGACCCCGGGTCTACAGTATATTCTCACTTTAATGCCCGTTTGCACAGCTAGGTCTATGTATATCAGCTAATGGGGGGGCCCCGCCCCCGGGCATGCAGCTATGGGGGGGCCGCCCCCGGGCGCGCAAGTGTCCCCGCCCCCTGGCGCCCGGCGGGCAAACGGCCACACCCCCTGGCTCCTGGCAACCTCAAATGGTTGGGGACCCCGGGTCTACAGTATATTCTCACTTTAATGCCCGTTTGCACAGCTAGGTCTATGTATATCAGCTAATGGGACATCAGATCCTGGTGTCTCACAGGACTTCGTTAAAGGACCATCCCAGTAACAGCTGCAAACGGACACACCAGCCTGGATAAAATCAGACGGGTATCTCTAGTGATGGGGAAAGGCTTGGCTAATGCTTTCTTCATTCTCAAACCTGCCCTGGTTCTGATCAGGACAGGAGGCAGAAATGCCACCATTCTGGAAGAAAATCTGTTTCTATGCAGAATAGTAATAGAAATGTAGCCGTGTTAGTCTGGTGTAGCTGAAGCAAAAGACAGGACTATGTAGCACTTTAAAGACTAACGAGATGGTTTATTGGGTGATGAGCTTTCGTGGGCCAGACCCACTTCCTCAGATCAAAAATTGAGGAAGAGGGTCTGGCAAAAATTGAGGAAGTGGGTCTGGCCCACGAAAGCTCATCATCTAATGAACCATCTTGTTAGTCTTTAAAGTGCTACATAGTCCTGGTTTTTTTTCTATGCAGTTTTCAGCCTGGTTCTGCTGCATCAAAGGTTTGAGCAGGTGCCAAACAGAAGCAAATCCATGTCTGCCCAGAGCTGGGGCAGCCCCTTCACCCCACTGAAACATCCATTTCACAGGAAACATCCCAATCAGCCCACAAGCCCAAATGTATGCCCAGGGCTTCAATCCGAATTCTGCAGCCAGCTCAGTGCTGAGACTTCCTGTTCAGAGCCTGAGAACGGAGGTTGAATTCCAGGAAGCAGCACTTGGGGGATGGGGTTTGAATATGTAACTCCGTGGATCTCAAGCTGCGGGGTGCGAGCGAGCACTCTGGGTTTGTCATAAAGATAAAGCACCTGTCAGTCTCCAAGCAGCGCTGGCAGCAGCTATTCCAGGCTGAACGCTTTCAGGGTTTACAGAATTTTCGCACCTTTCTCTTCCTGCCCGTCTCCAATAAAAATAGCCCCCCCCCCCACGGAGCCCCGTCCTGCCCCCATCCGTGCTTGCTCCAGGTATTTCTTTGTTGTCAGGGTAGATTCAACAGGGATGTGATTTGCTACTGAAATGAGAAACTGGAGCAAACACAGAGAGGGAGAGATTTCCCTGGGGAGTTTGAGCAGCAAGACAGCCCCATGCATGGAGAATGAGCAGCAGAGAGACTGGAGGGGGAGAAGAGGTCAAGCAGCCACACCCAAGCTGGTCAGGCATTTGCCTGCTGACCATAGACCTTGGGCGGTTCAGTTGCTGATTCCGAAAAGCAGCCTCACGGGAGCGAGTTCTGCAACTCCTAGAAGGGCCGGGCAGGGGTGAAAACAGGGTTATTGCTGCTGTTAAAGCTGCTTCTCCCCTTACAAGTGACCCAGCACAGGCAAAGGAGACAGCCCCCGCCCCACAAGCCAGACTACAGACTCACCCTTTGCTCCTGCGTGGCGACAAAGGTCTGAAATCCAGGGGCCACTCCGAACCCAAGTTCTTGGACGAAGGGCGGCTCAGACTGGCTGTGGATCTGAACTTTGACTCCAGCTTCAAATGTTGTTTCCTCTAAAAAGAGAAGCAGCAATGCTAAGGAACTGGAAGGAGAACAGGTTAGCTATTTGGCGGCTCCGGCTGGGGTCACATGCAGAGTTAAAAGGGGGCTTGTATGTTGGATCACGTTTGGAATGGCTCCTGCCCCTGCCCCTCCTCTCCGCTCCCAAAGGGGTTGCTGTGAATTGGCATTGGCTTTACCCTGGCCAATGTGCTGCTCCGAGAGGAGGGGAGAAGTGACCGTGTGCTACTTGCAGCTCAGCAGCAAGCCTTTGGGATGGGCACCATGGGAGGGAATCAGAACCATCCTCCGCGGTGAGCCGAGCAGACTTTGGGTTTGTCGCTTGGGAGTTCAATGCAGCTGCCATCTGTAGCTGCTGCTGCTGCTGGCCGTGTTAATCCAACAGCCTGTGCACAGAGCAGCAAGTTCTGCAGCCTCCCTCCCCTTTGGGTAGCAGCCATATTGTGGCAGGCCCTACCGCTCCAAAACGTTCAGGAAGGTTTCTGGGGGCAGGGGTAGGCTGCCCTCTGTCTCCTGAGCTCGGCGGTACCCAAGGGACCAGAGCTACCACAGGCAGAAGTCTGGTTTGAAATACACGTCACGTAAGCCTGGCCCCTCCCCACCCAACGTATGTGAAAAGAACATCGCTCACGGGATGTCCGCTCTCATGGCAGCGCACAGCCCAGCTCAGCTAGCACCGGGCAAACAGCCACAGAGACAGGGAGGCAGATAGACCCTGGGCGATAGACCCTGCCTGGCTCGCTATACCCCCAACCGGCACCTGCCACGGCCTCACCACTAGTCATCACAGCGTGGTGTCCCACAGCCTCCCACTGCTGAAAGGCTGCAGGGGTGGGAAAAGGCTGTGTCAGGGGAGGGGCAGAGAAGAAAAGTTTCAGCAGCACCCCATTGCTAGAGCTTTTCGCGTCTCCCTTCCTCCTGCCAAAGCCTTTTTCTGCTATGTGCATCCTAGGAGCCACCACAGGTGTAGACAAAGCCTTATGCTGTAAAGCCGAGCACTCGACAGCTAGGAAGGCCAGGTTTACAGCTGCCTGCAGAGCTCTGAGTCTTCCACCCAGTGCGTCCATCAGGTGAACTGGACGCTCTCTTTTGAAAAACCCCTGTTTGCATTCAAGAACGCCTTTTTTCGAAAGAGCACTTTCGAAAAAAGGCGTTCTTCCTCGTAAAATGAGGTTTACCGCCGTCGAAAGAAAAGACGCGTTCTTTCGATTTAATTTCGAAAGAATGCGGCTGCAGTCTAGACGCAGGTGAAGTTTTTTCGGAAAAAGGCTACTTTTTCCGAAAAAAACCCTGAGTCTGGATACAGCCTTACTGTTTCTCTACACAGGGAGTTACCCCAGAATACAAAGGTCATTCTGAATTTGTTTAATCCCTTTGGAAGTGGATTAAGATAATTCAGAATTAGGCACTGTTGTTCTGGACTAAGACCCTCCACAAATGAAAGCAATCAGGGGTAGTTAATCTGCTTGAAATTCACACCCTACATAATTCTGGTTTAATTTTCATATGTAGACCATGCATTGAGTGAAAAAATTGCTTCCTTTTGCTTGTTTTAAACCCACTTCCTATTAATTTAATTTGTGAACCCCTAGTTCTTGTGTGAAAAACACTTACTTACTTTCTCCACGCCAGTCGTGATTTTATAGACCTCTACCATATCCCCAATTTGCCACCTCTTTCCAAGCTGTAAAGTCCCACTATTATTAATCTCTCCTCATGTGGCAGCTGTTTCATGCCCCTCATCATTTTTGTTACTCATCTTTTGTTGCCCAATTTTTTCAGAAAACTGTCCACAGTGACTCCACGATTTCTTTCTTGAGTGGTAATATAGACCCCTCTTTTTGTCGGGGATCATGTTTCCCTGTCTTGTCTCTGCAGGGGGGGCATTGCAAAGAAGTATGTTTCGCTTTTCAGTTCTTCACAATGGAGTGAGTGCTCCTGATTTGTGATGCTGGGTGTTCTCTGTAATTTCTGTCCCCTCCCCCAGGTAATTATGATTACCTGCATATTTTAGCTTTGTCTTTTTTTTTTAAACGTAACATACAAGAACTTAATAATAAGGGGAAAGCTGGTGCCTAAAATGGATAGTTTTATTAAACCTGCTGCAGAATTCCTGCATATTACGTGCTCACGTGCATCTCCTTTGACTTTCTTTAACTTCTCAGGGTGCCAAGGAGCGCTGTCTGTTCGAGGTCACTGGCCAGGATGTCTCGAACTCCTGATGTGTTCCTTAGTTGCTTATTCATGCCCTAAGGGATCTCACAAGGTGTTCCAATAAATCACTGAATTGTCTTTGCTCTAGGTTTCCATATTTGCTCCTCATTGTGGCAGAATTCCTCATGCCTCGCTGTCTCCTTTTCTCTGTTTCTGCATTATCAATTAACCAGGTCATTCGTCTTTTTTTTTGTTTTTTTTTTGTTACAGCAACTATGTCCAAACTGTGTGCCTCAACTGTTGGGTCAGTAGCAACTGCCAGATCCCATAAAATCTTTAGCCTCTTCATTCTCTCGAGTCGGTAGTTTTAATTCTGCCTGGTTAATTTAAATCCATGCTAGCCACAGAGGCTGTAGACTGCAGACACTTGGTGACCTCATTGTGTCTGTTCCTATGTTCTCTTCCAGCCACGCTCCTGCAGGCACTCAATACATGCTCCACCCTTTTTCCTTGTTGGAACGTGCTCTGCTGTTCAGTCAGTTATGCTGCAAATGTAATTAGGCCTTAAGGACTCTTGTGCATTCACTGGGAGGCTCTCTGCCTGTTTTTTCAGGTGTCCTTCTACGAGCCATAAGTTTGTGAAACTTTGGTTTTCTCTTTCTCGCCACCACAGCCCATGCACTGATTCCCAAGTGAATCTTCTGAGTCTTCCTTTGGTGGGTTGGTTTTTCCTTTCTTGGCCTGGGCTGCATGCTCAGCCAATTCATGTTTCTATCACCGAAGGATCTGTTATTCTGGTTTGTTCCTCACATATTTTGATGTTATTTTTCATTCTCAAGTGCTTCCTCCACCAATAGCAGACTGTTTCCTCCATCATCTCGGCAAACGTGTATCTTCTCCATGTATTGACTGGTATTCATTACTCTAGCGATCCGGAGAGAACATATGGGTATGTCTACACAGCAAAGTTATTTTGAAATAACAGCCGTTATTTTGAAATAACTTTACTAGCGTCTACACAGAAATTAATTTGAAATAGTGGAGCGCTTATTTCGAATTTGGTAAACCTCATTCCACGAGGAATAACACCAAATTTGAAATAGCTATTTCCAAATAGTGCTGTGTAGACACTTATATCGAAATAGGGGGCCTCCAGCCTCCCCAGGGTGCCCTGCTGGCCACTCCAGCCGCAACCAAGAGCACTCTTCTCCCTCGCCTCTCCCTGGACCCCTTAAAAGGTTGACTCAGGCCATCGTTCCGGTGCCAGCTCTAAGCCTGTCAGCCCAGAGCCAGCAGTCACTGCCCCTGACCCAGTGGCCCCAAAACAGGAGTCAGCAAGCCACTGGCAGACAAGCCGCTGGCAGCCAGCCCTCCACTGCTCCCCAGGAGTAGTCTGCCAGCTCCCAGGAGCCTGCCAGGGGCTGGAGAATGTGGGTGCCTTCCTGGTCCAGGGCAGAGATCATGAACCTTATTCAGGTCCATTGGGATGCCCCCAATGTCCATGATCTCCGCACTAGATGGGGGGATGCAGCCATCTGTGGCACGATAGCTGCCAGCCTAGCCACCAAAGGCCACATGAGAACCTAGGAGCAGGTTCACATGAAAATCAAGTTGGTCCGGCGAGATCCCCAACCCTGAGCCCTGAGTTTCCTCTCCCGCTTCTTCTCCTTGCTTCCCCCTTCCAACTCCCTCCTCCCAGGTTTCCCCTTCCTCTTTCCCACCCTCTCTCCTCCCCTCTCCTGCCTCCTTTCCCCAGCCTCACCAGAGTTTCATTCCCCCCCCTCCAAGAGAAACTAAATAAAGGGGGTTTGTGTTCATGAAAATACATGTATTTTATTTGACATCAGGAAGGGGGATTAGGGAGGGGTAAATGGAAGGATGTGAGGGAGGAATGAGGCACAAGCCCCCAGTGGGGCAGACCAGGGAGGCTCTTAGTGCTCTTCATGGTGGAAGCTCTCCCGCAGGGCCTCCTGGATACTGACAGCCCCCCAATGGACCTCTCGGATGTTTGTGTTCATGAAAATACATGTATTTTATTTGACATCAGGAAGGGGGATTAGGGAGGGGTAAATGGAAGGATGTGAGGGAGGAATGAGGCACAAGCCCCCAGTGGGGCAGACCAGGGAGGCTCTTAGTGCTCTTCATGGTGGAAGCTCTCCCGCAGGGCCTCCTGGATACTGACAGCCCCCCAATGGACCTCTCGGATGGCAGCCAGAAGGAAGTGCAGCCAGGCTGTCAGCAATGCACCCACAAGAAGCACCAGAGTGCCCGGGGGCAGCTCTGGCTCCATGCTGCAGAGTGCTGTGGTGTCCTGAGTGAGGGCAACCAGAGGACACAGAGACAAAATGCTTTGCTGTCCCTCATCGAGGTAGGCAAGCAAGCAAGCAGGGAAACCTGAGAACTGGCTGTCCATGGGAGGTCTTTAAGCACAGGCCTCAGATAGTCTCCGGCAGCAGCCACACAAAGTAACTCCTGCCGTGGTGCCCTGCTGGACCTGATTCCGGCAGCCCTTAAATGCGATTCAGTGTCCACTCAAAAAGCTATTTCGAAATAACGCGGAAGTGTAGACACTATGGCAATGAATGCAGCTCAACACACAGCGACTTGGATTCAGAGGATGGAAGCAAAGTGAGAAAAAAGAAAGCTATGTGCTGAAAGACTCTAGCTCTGACAACACACGGATTTGTGACATTTCTAAAAAGCCATGCTGCTCTTGAATTGGGCTTGTCAGCCATAATGTATTCATCAGGCACATGACTAGCCCTCTGAGGCACACACCATGATCCCATGAGTTGATGCTTGCTTATAATAATAATGTATCAGTAGGAGCTTTGTTTGC